ATTTTGTATAAGTACTAATGTTGTAAATGTATTTTTCATGTATATATGCTTTATGACGTTATTTCCGATTTGATCAAGAACGTAAACTTGCCAACGCTGTTTGTGTTTAACATTAGTATCCAGTCAGCTGCTATTGTTGCCAGTCAGATGCTATTGTGTAAAACAAACGTGTATAAAGTTAAAAAATGTAGAAAATTATCATTCAGAAACGTTTAGTAAGAGCCATGTGTGGTGAGGTTCTGATTGATTCTCTTCATCGCGGCTTTCTCGGCCTGATTCTGACTCAAACTGATAATGCAGTTCGACACGATATTTACATCTGGACCGGAGCTCATGACATGCACGTTTCGCCCCTAAAGATAGTGGGCGTTAATCACAACCCACCGGGCCAAACTAACCAATCTGAGCCCACTGCTTGTTTCTGAGGGACTGGTTTCATAGAATCAGGAAGTCAACCGCTCGTTCGAGGACAGAGGAGAGCGCGGCTGACAATAAAGGTGAAGTTTATGAAAAATAAGACTTTTAAAAAAATTAAAAAACACAAATACATGTTATATTGCACCCCGTAAATACAATCATGCAAAGAAAAAAAGCAGTCAACCCCCCCCTCTCTTAACGTGTGACGCACACACACAACTGAGAAACATTTTGATCTTATAAACACGCACACATACACACATACAGTAATGCACAACTGAAACACTGGTTTTGGTTTTATTGTTTGTCGTTTAAACGTGCCTGTTGCATAGGCTATCTTTATTTTATATATTTATGGTCTATTGGTGAAGTAGCCTATAGCACTGATTACTGTGAAGGGAAGGGTGTGGGGATTAAAATAATTCAGCAGGGATGTTTGGACCAGAAGAAAATCCCCGTCCCCCCTGGCAAATCGCATTTTATTTAAAACCTTAAAAACTCTATAGGCTATAGGGAATCAAAGGCTATATATATATATATATATATATATATATGAGGAGTTCTTTTCCAAAACGCTATAAATCCATTTCAGTAGTTTTCAGGATAAATGACAATTTTTACCTAAACCCACACATTTTGTGAATATTCATTTTATTCTGTTAAAATGTGTTTTTAGGCTCAGTCTGAACATGTTGAACAATGATGATTAAATCAAACAACAATATTGTTTATGATAAATTCAAAGTTAATTTTTATTTTTTTCCAAAACGCTATAAATCCATAATTTTTCCCCTCAAAACGCTATAAATCCATCCACCCCCCCCCCCCCCCCAAATTGTATGGTTTGTGTTTAAATAAAAAAAAAAAAGAAAGAAAAATAGAACATGCAACATATAATCGGGGATATATATAAATTAATATAAATAAAATTTAGTAACACAATTAGGCTAATAGTCAATTAGTCAAGCTAACATGACATGAAGTACTGAATAGTTGTACAAGCCTACTGATAGATAAATTGGCCTTTAAATATTAAATAACTTATTATATATTGTTATCATTATTGAATATTTTTATTAATTCATTTTTTTCATGCATATGTAATGGACAAATTGGTCCTACTTGTGACAGGTTTATTAAATAACTTATTGAATCTCGTTATCATTACTATCTGTGTATATCACCAATCAGTGCCATAAACATGAACATTGCCGAATTGCTGCAGGATGGCGTGGTGTTCCTGTGGTCGCAGAATTGTGTCCATTACCTTCTGCTCAATTCTATCAAAGACTCTGTCTGCAGGTAGATAACTGTGGCCCCATACTGGAAATGTGTGCTCTATGCCAGACTGATCTCATGAAGTAGCGTGTGTATGACACGCCAACTTGTATTTCCATTTTTGGCGTGTTATCAACACACATAATCGCTTTTCAGCGTGTTTATGAGCACCGTTGACTTAACGTTATTACTGTATATATAAATATATGACTTACCTCAACCCCATCCCTAAACCTAACCGTCACTGGGGTTAATGGCATTTATGACTGTTCCCTTACCATCCTAGGAAAGAAAAACATAGCTCCCCAGATGTAGATGTACATTTTGCTTTGTTTTGCTCGGACATTTGACGGCGTGTACAGACACGCGGAATGACACGGACGTTAATGGCGCAGACATACACGCGGATAGCTCAAAATGCGTCGAGATAACACGCCACTTGACTCGAAATTGGCGTGTATGTTTACGCAAAAGTCATGATGTCATGTTCTCTATGCTGAGGTTGGGGAAAAGCTGCCGAAGTTCCATCAGCATGGACACCATGCTCATGTTCTTGTTCTGCCCAAAACAAGAGTCACTAAACAGCCGAAACCCCCCTGGATCTGCTGACTTTGCTGTTTTGATATGATGCAAAACCTGGTCCTTCCAAAAACCGCAATAGGACAGGCCTATTACTCATGGCAGATGTATCTGTACCTGTTTGGTGTGGTTGTGCACCATGGGGAGAACAGCTGTCAGGTAAAAGATGATGTCCATCTGTATGTGTGGCAGGAGAATGAGGGTAGCAAAGACAGCAATATGAATCCTTCTGCGCTGAATGACTGCCTCAAGGTTCAACTTCAGGACATATGACCTTCAGCAAATCTGCCTAACATGTCATAAAAAAGCGCCCTCTGTGACGATGGAAGATAAATTATGCTGATTCTTCTGATCTTCTTCTCTGTGTCAGTAAGGTTTGAGTCTGTTATCCTGATCTTGTACTTGGCACAATCAGTGCATGCATCTGTAGCTGGGTGACCAAAGCCAAGATTGAATTCCTTTGAAAACACTGAATAAAAGAGGGAATAGCTGGTTTGAGCATGGCTCTGAGCTTCAAAAAGCTCATGCATCTTGCGCACACTCAGGTCACTGGGGAGAGACTTGTGGCCTGGTGCTCCTCTCCAGCCATAATGGCTGGCCCTGTAGGTGAAAGTCTGTATATGTGCTCAACAACGAGTTGCCTTCTCCTTACATGCTCCTCACTGTGTCATGCACCACCTCTTCTCTCTGGGCGAGCCTCAGCAGTCTCAGCATAATATTGAGGACACACGGGACACCCGGTCTTTGCTGATGCCAGTGAAAGTAAAGTATTTAGATTGTCATATACATTGGAGCCAGTATGAAATAAACAGAATTACACACAACTAACTTGCTATTACTCCCTCCCCCATTTCCTCTCTCTCTCTCGTGAATGCTGGGAGTTTGTGGACGGACGAGTGTGTGTTGGAGTGAGCTCTACGATGTGAGTGAGTTTTCTAAATTTTTTCTATCTCTCTTGGTTTTGTTTTTAGGTAAATAGAGTAATGGGTGTAGTGTTTGTGAGGAGCGTCGTCGTTCATAGCTGATCGCTATGGCGAGCACGCGAGTTTAGAAAGTTTGACACGACGGCATGGCGTTAAGGTTGTACCCGCGGAGCGTTGTTTCTTTTAGGAGGCAGGTACACATGATCCTAAATAACCAGAATGAGGAGCTTAATTTAGCCATGAAGTTTAAGATTGATGATTTTCAGTATCTTATTGTGTTTTGGTTGTGGACAAGAGGGTCACGTGATACACGTGTGTCCTGAGAAGAACGCAGATCAGAATCACAATACAGTTGAAACACTTGGCAATACAGATCACGTACAAACAAAGGATGTGTTGACAAAAATCGAATTGATGATCGTAAAAGTAATAAAAATGAGAGCGTGGTCACAAACGAAAATGTGCAAGAAGGTGGTGTTTCTGAGGTCAGTGAGCAGGCCTTGTTAGAGGATGATGTGGATGTTGACATGTCAGAAGATCAGAGTTTGTTTAAAACACCTACGTTAAAAAGGAAAACTAAGACCAAAGGAAAAGAAAAAAGGGCTAGGAAAAAAGCTACTGGAACAGCTGTTGGTGATGCAAGGGAGGGGGACTCTGAGTCGAGTAATGCTGTGGAGTCTGCTTTAGAAAGTGATTGTGAATCTTCAGACTCCGTTACTTCACAGAAGCAATCTGTCTGCAGCGCTTATACATCGGACAAAATTAAAATGTTTCTTCAGACAACGAAGGGCATGAAGGGTGTAAATGTAGACGATTACTTCCCAGATCGCGAGACGTTTATAGATTCAACCAGGGCTTTAAGGAAGGAGGGTGGCGCTTTCACTGAACAGGAAGTTTTTATGAGTAAAATATCTCAGAGGAACACTCCCATTCATATTTAATAATATAATAATTTTAGCACACCAGTGACTAGGAACATGAAATTGTCTAGCTTTGACTTCTTGTTTCACAGGAATATGAATGAGGAAACAAAGGCCAAATTCCCTTAATGTTAATTCATATGAGTTCATGTTCAAGTAACTATTAATTCATGCGTTAGTACAAGATTATTCATGAACTGTTATTGAACTACAATGTATTAATCAAAAATTAGACAAAGATAAAGAACAAAACAATGCAAATAAAAGACAAGTTGAGGCCAGCAGGGGGTGCTCACCCTGTGGTCTGTGTGGGTCCTAACGCCCCAGTAAAGTGATGGGGACACTATGCTGTCAAAAAGAGCACCGTCCTTCGGATGAGACGTTAAACCGAGGTCCCGACTCTCTGTGGTCATAAAAAATCCCAGGATGTCTTTCGAAAGAGTAGGGGTGTAACCCCGGCATCCTGGCCAAATTTGCCCAGTAGCCTCTGTCCATCATGGCCTCCTAATCATCCCCATATACACCAATTGGCTTCATCACTGTCTCCTCTCCACCAGTAAGCTGGTGTGTGGTGAGCGTTCTGGCGCAATATGGCTGCCGTCGCATCATCCAGGTGGATGCTGCACATTGGTGGTGGTTGAGGAGATCCCCCCCTTCTATGTGAAGCGCTTTGAGTGTCCAGAAAAGCGCTATATAAATGTAACGAATTATTATTATTATTATTACAAGTTCACGCTTTCTAGGAGCATCACCTGATCAGATAAATATCTGATATGGACCAATTCTAAAAGGTCACGTGAACAGCCTTGCCAAATATATTTGAGGGTGTGGGAAACTTTTCCTTGTCTGAAAAGTTATCAGCTGAGGAGACCAGGAGACAATGGACGTTTTCCAAGCAGAAGTTCTTTATTGCTCGTAGCTGCAGTCATGCCAACATCGTCTGATTTAAAAGAACCTTACATTCTAATTTCATCGAATACATTTCAAAGAGGGAGAGATTACATGGAGCTGGAGACACTGAAACAAAGCAAATGGTAATGCATGTGACCCTGGAGCTCCAAGGCAAATGGTCTCAGAAATTAACATAGCAGGTGTTCAAACTTCAAACAGGCATTTTCACACGGTGAGACAAGAAACAGGAAAGGCATTGCTTTCTCGTGTGGTCACAGGACAGTCAGGAGGGTCACACTGTGAATTCCTACTGTTTTCAGAGATTTAGAGACTTTCTCCATTTAAATCATTAAATTAAACATGTTAATAAAATTTGTAATCTCACAAGGGGGAAATAAGATTTAGCTCCCATTCATCTGTGGTGTGTACGTACCCTTTATTTACAAACACGTATTTTCTGGTGCCATTTTACACTGCCGAGCCATTTAAAACTCTTCCCACACAAGGAACACAAATAGGCTCTCACATCTGTGTGACTTTTCAAGTGTATCCGTGTAGTAAGTGTAAAGGCAAAATACATTTTGTATTAAATTGATCACAATTAAATTGCCTTCAACCAGAGGGAATGAAGCAGGTGATGTTTGAAATTGATCCTTATTCTAAACCTCATCATCACACACATCTTTTTCTCCCAGAATGACTTCGCAAAATCAAGTCTCTTTGATTTATCAAACTCTTTCCACACTGTACAAGACATGTAAAAGGCTTCTCTCCAGTGTGAACTCTCAACTCTCAATGAACTGAACATTTTTGTTGTCTGTGGAATTCTGTTTACACTGATGACGTTAAATGGTTCTCTCTTAAGTGAATCCTCACATGTTTATTAAGGGTTACTTTTTGTCTGAAACTCTTTCCACACTGATCACACGTGTAAGGCTTTTCTCCAGTGTGAATTCTCATGTGACTCGTAATATATCCTTTTTGTGAGAAGATCTTCCCACACAGTTTGCAGGTGTAAGGCTTCTCTCCAGTGTGAACTCTCATATGGGAATCAAAGGATTTTTTACATGTAAAAATCATGCCACACTGACGGCATGTAAAATCTCTTGAGTGAATTCTCATGTGGGAATTAAGGGTTACTTTACGTGTAAAACTCTTTCCACACTGATCACACGTGAAAGTCTTCCCTCCAGTATGAATGTGCATGTGACACCTAAAGCTTGGTTCTGCTATAAAACTATTTCCACACAGTTTGCAGGTGTAAGGCTTCTCTCCGGTATGAGTTTTTATGTGGTATTTAAGGGCCGCATTTTGTCGGAAACTCTTTCCACACTGATCACAAGTGTAAGGCTTCTCTCCTGTGTGAAGTCTCGTGTGAATTTTAAGGCTTCCATTTTCAGAGAAACTCTTTCCACAGTGTTGGCAGGTGTAGGGCTTTTCTCCATTGTGAATTCTCATGTGGACTTTAAGGTTTTCATGGTGACTGAAACTCTTTCCACACTGAAAGCAGGTGAAAAAACTTCCTTTTCTTCTAACATTTTTTAGAGAGGTAGTATTTTCAGTCTGTGAGCCACTAGAAGATTTTTCTCCAGTTATCAGATCATGATCTTTCATTTCATTCAGTACTTCACTCTCCTCTTTCAGTCCCATCAGATCTACAGCAGAAAAAGATAAATACAAGTTAAGTCATGTTTAATGGCACAAAGCCAAATTCATTAACACATTTCAAGCATCAAAACTAACTAAATGTATGCTAAATCCTCAAAGGTAACGTATCTAGTTAACAGAACACCAAACAATTTTCTCATTTAAATGCCTCCTGGTGCTATGGAAGCTTGTTTACGCCACTCAATTAAAAACAGAAAAGGTAATTGCAAATTTTTATCACACAATTCTGTCAGAATTGCATGATATAAATTCATTAAATATGATATAAATGCTTCAGTAGTAGTTACTTTATTAAATACAATTATGCTCATTTTTGACTGATTTATTGTCTGCTCATAATACTAGTCAATGAAATGTCGATCAAAAGCTACAAGCTTTACAGAACTAAACATACCTAAAAGGGTATTTGTTTATAGAGCAGGAAAACTAATTCTTGTGGCCACAGAATTTGTTTTCACAAACTCTATAAATTAATTGAGCCAATTAATTTTACTTGTCTTGTAAAACGTGGTCCGTGTAATTGATTACAATTAATTTGTGGTTAATTGCAGAGACGCACATGTATGCATACAGGTAAAATTAATAAAGCCTCCCTAAATGGGAGATTTATTAACATGTAAGACTGGTCTGATCCAAATCTGTATGAATAATTATTAATTATCAATTATTCATTATGATATGCAAATTCCCCCTTGATCAGACCCGAACAGAGTCTTTACACCTGACATTTGTGCTTTTTTTCAGTTGCTTATAAACCTATTAATGGCACAGGTGAAATTACACTCTATTTATCACAAACAGGGCTACCATAATATGTGAGCAGTATGTATATGTTTGTATTTTTGTACATGTTAGTAAATTGTTTATGCATGGTTATTGAAAAAAAAAAATGAAAGTTTCTGAAATAAGGCCACAAAACACATATGAAATATGCATCCACAAGACTTTTGACTAATGGGTGTTGTGGCCTAGAGTTTTTTCTTCACAATGATCTGAAAAACATCCTGCCTAATCATTCACATAAAACTGTGAATTGGGTTATATTGTGAAAAACATTTTTTGTTTGCCAAGGCAATATGCGACTGGGTGTGAACAGGCCAGCCCTCATAATGTAAAATTAGGTGATATGCATAATAATGAGCCTTTCATTCAGGTGAGTCGAACAAGAAAAAATTGAAAGGACAACAAACACATATGTATGTATGTATGTATATATATATATATATATCAAAATATAAATGAAAATCAAAAACCCATTTTTAGTCCTGGAAACAAATCCTGGTCAAATAATAGGGTATATGGTCCATTGTGTAGAATTGGTTCAAAGTTACAGTTGGAAACATCTTGAAAAGAAAATTCTTTTTCCAAATAAAGTATTATTTTTTAAAATAGGCCAATACATTTATCATACATATATCAAAGTTAAGGATTCATTGTTTTGATATGTGCATTGCATTAGCTTGCATTGTATAACAGTTGATTAGTTTATTTTTGACAAAAAATACTATATATTTATCATCTGAACAGAAACTGTCTACAGAAACAGAAACACACCCAGACACCCGATTCATATTTAAACAGTCTTTTTGGTTTTACAGATGTGTATAGAATAGGGCTGTCACGATATAATATTGTAGTACCACCCTTCTGACATGTCAATCGCAGAGGATTGCACCTAACCGCAGCAACCGCGATATTCACGTTTTTTTTAATAAGGCTATATACCCTTCTTGTTTTGAACTTCAAGCATGTGTATTGAATGTTAAACAAGTTCATAATGATAACAAGACTGCTTATCTTGGTGATGTGTAGCCGGCTTCACACAGACAGTGAATGAGAGAGATCGGCAGAGCGCGTGTGATTACCTGCGTCTGTCTTTGAAGTCGTAAAAGGTTGCCGTGTCAAAGGAAAGTGAAACATTTGTCGTATCATCATTTTAACGTTCACGTCACGGGTATTTACCATAAATGCGCATCAGCAGCAGCGCTGGTCAGCATCCCACAGCGCGAGGAAGCCGCGGGGAAATAAAATCAGCGAGTCCCGCATTGAATCAATGCCATGTTGGTCTCTAATACGTGAAGCATCAGCTTCAGCGTTACCCATGCGATGCATTGCTGCTCAGCTGAACCTTGAAAAGTGGAACTCAAAGTTAAAAATAATTAACACCTTGTTTCATTACATCTCTTTTAATGAATCAGCTTTTTTGAACGTGTTCGTTGAATGAACGGTTTAATGACTCGCTCAAAGTCCGTTTTCATAACAATGTGCGCGCTGAAAGCCTTTCAATGCACATATAGACGCCGTTTAGTTCCGGTTACATTGGTTACTGAAAATGTCCTCATTTTTGTCCACATCATAAATGTATTTATATAGCAACAAATAGGCTACATATAAATAAATAAATGGCGGTAATACCGCATATCGCGCTATTGAGCCACTCAACTAGCCTGGAGAACTCCGCCCACAACATTTTTTGGTCAGGAAGTTCGGTCTGAACTCGATCCATTGAGGAGTAATTATGATCAGGCAAAAAATGTTCGCGCCAATCAAATTACCAGGGCGGGCTTTATACAATGATAGACAGGTGATCTACAAGGACGTAATCATCACGTTATCAAAGAGCGCTTAACTGGTTTCCCTCAGAGATGACTGCAGCTGAAGAATTGAGATGTATAGATTCCGCTGTCGTGTCTGTTGTGAAATAAATCGACAGCGCATTAATTTTAAAAGACAAACAGAAAACTGCAATCAAGGCATTTGTTGATCAGAAAGATATTTTTGGCGTCCTTTCTACATGATTCGGCAAAAAGTGTAACTTATCAGCTGGCTCTGACGGTCGCTAAGAAGATGGAACGTAATGAAAAGCCAGTGGTCGTTATGGTTTCTCCTTTGGTCGCACTCATGGAGGAGTAAGTAAAAGAAGCAACACTCGTTATTTAACTTCTAAAATAAGTAAAGTTAGGCTACGTTCTGTAGTTGACAACTGTATGTAAAGTAGTTGACTCACTGCGTCGCTCTGATTGGTTGTAGGTTTACCGACTATCCAATTGAGTGCAGAGTCCTGGTTCGGTTAAGATACGCCTCATAATCAAAGCCCTACGGAGCAATTTCAGACTCATATTCCGACAAGAATATGAGTATGACGAAGTCAGGCTAACACTCAACATTACAGCAAGGGAAATTCCATAACCGCGACAGCCCTAGTATAGAACAAATCTCAGTCTATATAGTCTTCCTAATGTAGAAGCGAGAGTAAATGAACGCACTGTGCACGCATTTAATATTTGTGCAGTTTACAGGCACTATTCAATAACGCGATCAGAACAAAGCACTTAAGAAAAAATTACTTACTACATCAGCTGAATCCGTATGCTCCTTGAATTGAAGCAGGTAACTGAGTTACCAGGTAACTTTTCCAGGATTATTATTATAGTATTATTATTCCTCACAGCGCAGCAAGACGAGGTAAAGGTTAGATTTGTGATAAACTGGATGTTTTTTCGAGCTGATGTGGCCGTTTTCATGGCTTGCCTCAACATTAGCCTTTGGATAGCGCGCACTCTCAGTGGGCATGGTCACATTAACACGTCATCCGCTATTATTAGGTGAAAAGAAAAAGACTAACATCTCTCTCTTTTCATACAGATTACATCAACTGAGGTACTTGCTTTTTTATACAAATTACTTAATTTAAAAGAAGAGAATTTCAGCTTCATAAAGAGAAATCTTTCGCATCTCTGTGACAAGTATTTAATGAGTTACAGTTTATTTTTCGGACGCGTTTCAGAAAGATTTTTGCGGAAACAGAGTGAGCTGAAATTTTATTTATTTTACAAAAACACAAGGTTTTGATGTTAATAAGAGTGTACACAAAAAAAGAAGACCCTCTATAGTTTATAATCATGTATTGATTTTATTTATATGACCATTAATGATGGAGTATTTTAAGTCTATGTTGCAGCTATGTGAAAAAAAAAAAAAACAGCAGAAGGCAGCAGCGCGTTACTCGACCTCAGGGGGTTAATCCTGCCTGAGAGAATGCTCTGATTCAGCGCTTGATCACTCAAGACTCGTATTAAGTGCGTGTGACTGATCCTTGTACTTTACGCGGATAATCTGATTGAACACCTGATCAGCCTGTCGGGTTGTATTCGCTATAACCGCCTCGCTCTACATTATCCCTTACTTATCAATTTATCTTTTAAAAACAAATACTGAGCCAGGTTCATGATGATGGTTGGTTTTTAATAGTCCAGGGCGATATAGGGCACAGATGCATCAATGCTAGGATATGTAGATTAATGGCCACATTCTCCAGGTGAGATTTTATGCAAATTCCAAAAGGGCTGATGTACCTGGGTCCGGCATCATAAAAATATGACTGTTGAGTAGTGTTGCTTTCGTCAACGAAAATTATGACTAAATATTGTCGTCAACACTGATGGGCAGTAACGCGTTAGAAGTAACGCGTTACTGTAATCCAATTACTTCCAGAGCGCGGAAGTAATTAGTATTGAATAGTGCCTGTGACGACCAGAGCGCGTAACGACTAAAGGGATTACAATTGAAAAAACAGTAATTAGATTACCGTTACTTCCCCGTAAACAGCCTGCGTTACTGCGTTAGTTAACCGTGATTTTGTTTAGTCAGACTGTCTCGTGACATGAGTCGTGCGGGAATAACAATGATGTACGAGCGCCACGACATCATTAGAGACGACCAGAGCGCGGGAGAGAGCAGCCGAGCTGCCAACTCTCACACGCTCACACGACACACCCTTGATTTCTCGCGCTGAAGTGTCAATCCCGTCGGTCAAATGCCTGATAGATGAGTTTATCTATAAATCTAACCGTTGAGCCACATTTGTGATTGACTAGTTATAGCGCAAATTAGTTAAAATCTCCCGGAATCTAGAGCGAGCGCACATGCGAGACTGTGTTCCAAAGTCCAAACTTCATATCGCGCGCACGACGAGGAGAGCAAGAGAGACTTCCTGATCCTGATCTAGAAACTGGACCCCCGTTGGAGAATGTCAAAATTCTACCTCAAATCTGAGCAAGCATGACACGAGACAGTCTCACACGGTTAACTAAAGCAGCAAGCCGGTACAGGAATGTGAAACTTACTGAAAAAAACCCTGAACCCCCGTCTGACATGACCGCTGCGGCTACATGCTGATGGTACATAACCACTGTTTAACTCCGAAAGAAAGAAAAAAAAAAAACTTGAAGCCAAAATACAGCATGCAACAGCATTTTCTGTTTTGATCAACTAATTTTTACTCCTCTCTGCACTTTACTGTTAAAAGACGTAAGTGTTAATACTTTGTAATATAGTCAGGAGCGACTTTCATGATTTTATTGCTGTATTTTTACATCTATTCAAATGAAGGATTTTACAAAATATATTTATTTTATATGCTGGAATATGTAGAAATGTATATTAACAGAAGAAAGGCTGTCTTTATTTCATTAAAATGGTGGAATGTGCAGAAAGTAGGTTTAAAGTCCCCGTGAACCGGAAGTTGCAAACGATTTTTCTCCAGTGCTGTGACGTATTTCCAAGTGAAACGGAATATTGAACAGAGGGCAGGGTTTTACTCTAGCGCTCCTCCTCTCCATCTCTCGCTCATAGCAAACTAACAGTTTGAGGGGAGTGGTTAAGCGTTTCCCCACCCAAACTGTGAAACCTACGTCATCAGAAAAAGAAACCGTTCCAGACCGGAAGTAACTTTTCAGATTTTGATTAAAGATTACCAAGGTAAAACATTTTTTTAATATATATTTACTTGCACGGATTAATTGTTCACCACAAGACTAGTAATATGCGCTAACAAAGTAAATAGGTTCAATTTTGATTTCACAGGGACTTTAAATGTTCAACAATTTTCTTCTAGTCTGAGAATGTTGCATTTAATTTAATTTTTGCTTGATGCAATGTGCATAAAGTTAAAATATTGAAACAAATAAAACAAGTTTAAAAAAAAGAGAATGTTTAATTTGATTACATTTTAGATGATGGAATATGCAGAAAGAATAGAATTAGGCTGAAAGGTCTATGCTTTAGCGTATTCAGGTCGTGCATCGTGTTTTTGAAAAGTAACTTAGTAAAGTAACTAGTAAAGTAACAAATTACTTTTGAAAATAAGTGATCAGTAAAGTAATTGGATTACTTTCCTGGAGAAGTAATCAGTAATCAGTAACTAATTACAATTTCCAAGTAACTTGACCAACACTGGTCGTCAATGAACATTTATCACGTGACGAAAACGAGACGTAACATAAATGCTGGTGGTGTGACGATGACTATAATTAAATGTATAATGTAATATCGTTGACGAATAAAAACGAGACTAAATGTGGTTTACAAAATAAAACCTATGCTAAAATGTCTCTTCATTTGTGTCTCTTCAAATGTCTCAGGAAGGGCTTACCGATTTAATAAGAAATGAATCATTCAGTTCAGTTTTGAGAATAAAACTCACCTGTTTGCTCCTCAGTATCTTCTTGTTTCAAACTGAATACTTCTTCAATCTTCATGTCTTCACTCTCCTTTTTAATAAACGTCATCTTTATAATAGCGTCACAAGTTTCACTGTATGTCTGGACACTCTGTCCTGTTTAAGATGAGAATAATTAACAGAAAGAAGTATGAATCCAAACTAAATCACTGGTTGCATCTCAATCAGCTCTTTAGATTAAGGCGGGCATACACTGTGCGATTTTCGTCCGATTTTGAGCCGAATTCTGACTCGTGCGACTCTTTTTCCTGTCGGACCGATTTTCAGCTTTGTCGTGCGTCGTTTGTCGTGCAGTGTCGTGCAGTGTACAGGGAGAAACGAGAGGCGATTAACCTCTCACGATCGACAATCGGATGGTCGGATGAATTTCTGGCATGTCAGAAATTTTGGTCGCTCCTCGTGACTATATCGCACAGTTGAAGCAAAGCTACGAACCGATTGCCCTAAACTCAGTGTTTTTTCCCTCACTGCACCTGCGCGAAAACAGAAGTTTATTTCATCTGCAGCAAAAATAAAATTAAAATAAAAACGAAAAGAGGGAGAGCTTTAAGTTCTGTGGTTCAAACTAGCTACAAATTACTGTTGCTTACCTCCAGTTCGTGTTGCAAAATGGATAATATTACCCACCGTCTTCCAAGCCACCTGCGATATGTAACATCTCTTTTATTAATTTGTCAAACAATGTTTTTGAAATAAACCTATTTTCATTGATGATTAATTATTTAAATGTTCGGACATATTATAGACTGTTAATAGTTATTTTATATGCCTATAATTCATTGTAATCGACCTAAATGTTTTAGACCATTTTTAATGAGGAGTAAGATTATGTAATATTTTATTATCCTCACAGCATGTTGGTTATGTGCTGTGAAAATATTGCGTGGCAAATTAATTATAATAGCGGATCAATTTAATAATAAAATTAGCCTATAGGCCTCCCCTAATAATGATAATACAATAATACCAATAATAATTAAATGTATAAATTGAAAATGCTAAATCATCTTGATACTAGCAGATGCTTGTTTTGACAATATCCCTGGATACATACACGTAAATAGGCGCAATCCAGGGGGTTATCGCAGATATTACACGTATAGTGTGAGCAGTGAAGTCGCAGCTCGACGATCGGACCGTACAGTGTGAGCACATAAATCCTGAACTTTGGCTTTGCATCGCATGCGATTTACTCGTTCAGTGTGAGTAGGTACCTTGCTGAAATCGCACAGACATCGCACAGTGTATGCCCGCCTTTAGTCAGTGCAATGGGAAGTGGGTCAGTACGAGGATTTCATTATTTTGAATTCCTCCTCCATCCCCAGCTCCTCCTCTCATCCAGTCAGGATTTTCCCCTTGAATCAGAATAAATTCTCAAATTGTTGTACCTTAAAATCTTGAATTAATGATATCTGCAATACATTTATGTTGGTTCTGTTACCCTAAGAGGGGTTATTGCTTTGCTGCTCTTATCCATGCTAGGCTACATGGATGCACAGGGAGTTCTCACCGAGAACAGAACCATACCGCCAATCCGAACTGTATGCCAATTGTCAATCGTATTTAATGATAGTGATCCTGATGTAACTAAACTAATTCTACTTCATCAAAAGGAAAAAAAAATGTAATTCCTTTTATAACTGTTTTAATTTTCCTTGCTTTTATTTTGTGGTTATTTTAATTATTTTCTGTGTAAAACACTTTTAATGGACTACTTGCAAAACTACTTCCGCGATCTACTTATTACATACCAGGAGTTTCCGGTTAGAGTGTTCATCGCACGTCCATACATGAAAATGCAGATTATCACTACGTTTTATGGAAGCCATCGATTAAAGCAATGAATAACGATCTCTGTATTAATTATCTTGAGCCTGCTGAAATGTTCCTATAAATATATTTTCTTTCTAACTGTTCGACTCTGAATAATAAATAGGCTAAATATATTTATCCACTAACCTGCAGCAGTCTGTCTTCTCATTAACAGCAGTATTAGCCTACTTATATTCTATACTTGAGTTTACATTTTTTAATGAATTTGACTAATAAAAAGTGTGCATCGGTGCTTTATTCCTGTCTTTTTAAAATAGTGCTTCAGAGCGCCGGCGGGGGTCTGAAGGTTAACTGATGAATGAATGAATGAATGATCGCGAGGTGCCTACCTACGATCAGAACGCCAGCAGCAAGAGGAGAATGACAGTCAACTTCTCTGAATATTAATTAAGCATTTTGGGCATGTAATAGTAAAGCGATTGACATTGAAAAACGAAACTGAATGATTACAATATTTAATCCAAATAAATAAATGTTCATGTTTCGTACTGATGTTATTAATCTGTTCTCACACATTTTAATGTCGCGGTCACTAGTGTAGACGAACACTGACACCCTGTGGTGAAATAATGGCGTATTTTTAACAGCCGCAGCTTTCGCGGATTGGCTTGGTTTGGATTAACACTTAATGTTCCGATGAGTTTTGAAAATTCTGCAAATGGTAAACATCAGAATATCCATTCTTCTGTCAATAAAAATGTCCAAAATATAAAATCTTATTACTCATTTTAGGTGGTGTTTGTTCAACTCATTGACCGCAGTACATTGAAAGTTAACTTAACCGGAAATAAGTGATATGTATTGTTTCCAAACGGAAGTGCGTCGCGAAGCTCAGTGCAAGTAGTCCATTGCCACAGCATATGAAATGTGCTGTATAAACTTGCCTTACTTTTTATTTAGACTTTCTCTCTTAAAGAGAACATTTAGCAGCATTTTTTACTTGTCAGAACTAGGGGTGGGCAATATACCAGTACAAATTTGTCAACTGGTAGAGATTTTGGACAATCGTCTCTATAACGGTTATGCTCATGTGATGTTGCTGTGTTATTATTTTATGTTTTTATTGGTTAGATCAAGAACATTGAGTACAGTCGTATGACATTTTCACTCAGGTTTTCAGATAATAAAAGAATGGTTGGCACACTTGTTTGTAAGGTAACAACAGCCTGGAACCGCGGTCAAGCCAGCCGCATTTTGAAAATACACGGTCAAGCCAGCCGCTAAAAAAATAAGCGTGTGCGCCTATTACTATGAATACGGTAATTTCAGTAACGGCAGAGAGAATGCGCTTTCATGGCGCTTCAGTTGCCCAGCTCTCTCTCTCTCTCTCTCTCTCTCTCTCTCTCTCTCTCTCTCTCTCTCTCTCTCTCTCTCTCTATCTATCTATCTATTTTCTTTCTATTTTTCTTTCTTTCTTTCTTTCATTCTCTTTCTTTCTTTCTTTCTTTCTTTCTTTCTTTCTTTCTTTCTTTCTTTCTTTCTGTATTTCTTTCTTTCTATTTTTCTTTCTTTCTACTTTTTCTTTCTTTCTATCTTTCTATTTTTCTTTCTTTTTCTTTTTTCTATTTTCTTTCTTTCTTTCTTTCTATTTTTTTTCTTTCATTCTTTCTTTCTATCTTAATTTCTTTCTATCTTTCTATTTTTTCTTTCTTTCTATCTTTCTATTTTTCTTTCTTTCTTTTTTCTATTTCTTTCTTTCTATTTTCTTTCTTTCTATCTTTCTATTTTTTCTTTTCTTTCATTCTTTCTTTCTTTCTTTCTTTCTTTATATTTTTCTTTCTTTCTATCTTTCTATTTTTTCTTTCTTTCATTCTTTCATTCATTCTTTCTTTCTTTCTTTGTAATCTATCTATCTATCTATCTGTCTGTCTATCTATCTATCTATCTATCTATCTATCTATTCTATCTATCTATCTATCTATCTATCTATCTATCTATCTATCTATCTATCTATCTATCTATCTATTTCTTTCTTTCTTTCTTTCTTTCTTTCTTTCTTTGTAATTAATCTATCTATCTATCTATCCATCTATCTATCTATCTATCTATCTATCTATCTATCTATCTATCTATCTATCTATCTATCTATGATGATATATTCCATGTTTTGAGAATGTTTTTGTGTTACTCTGTTTTCCTTTTTATATACACTCATTTCGTCTTTGACATTTGTAATTCTTTGACATATGGTTTTTGTTTTTTTCTTTACAGGTAACACCTCAAGACATTTTTTATGTACAGGTTTACAGCATAATTATTTGTAAAAATAGATAAAAAAAGTATACACTCTTTTAAATGCCTCTTTTTTCATGTTTTTTTAGTATTAAATGACAGTTTCTCATGAATTAAATGTCCCATGTCCTAATGTCCAATGCCTCTCTTCTACTTTAGACACTATAAAAACCTATTTTCTAATAAGTAGAAAAAACAATGGTCATGTCATGTACGGGACGTCCCATATAGTGTGCACACCAATTATCTAACCATTTTACTGGCAGCGTTTTGGAGATATATACGCCTCTATTCTTCTTTAGACACAAATAAAAACCTAATTTCTAATAAGTAGAAAAAACAATGGTCAGGTCATGTACGGGACGTCCATAGAGTGTGCTCACCAAATATCTAACCATTTTACTGGCAGCGGTTTTTAGGAGATATAGGCCTCTATTCTTCTTTAGACACAAAATAAAAACTAATTTCTAATAAGTAGAAAAAAACAATGGTCAGTTCATGTACGGGACATCCCATAGATTGTGCACACCAATTATCTAACCATTTTACTGCAGCGTTTTGGAGATATAGGCCATTTATTGTACTATAAATGCCAATAAAAACCTAATTTCTAATAAGTAGAAAAAAACAATGGTCAGGTCATGTACGGGACGTCC